AACACAACCCAACAACCTAAACAACTAAATCAAAATCATAACCCAAACCCAATCTATCATTAAATCTGTGTAAATCAGAATATAAAATGGAAAGGGGAGATACACATACTTGGACGAAATGTCAGGAGGAGGAGGAGGAGGAGGAGGAGGATCTGTGGCGGAGAAGATGTTAATAGCGGAGGAAGAAGATAGTGTTAATGGCGGGAAGAAGAAGATGTACAGGACGGAGGAATAAGAAGATGTACAGGAAGAAGAAGATGTAGACGAAGCTTAGAAGAAACAACAACCAGGGGAGGGATGCGTTAATGTGGCGAGAGGAAGAAGAAGAAGGTGTTTGGGTTTGTTTGTAAGAATTTCGGATCTTTGGGGACATATTATAATTTTTAAAAGATCACACAATACTTTATTAATCATAATTAACCCTTAATCATGTTTAATTAACCTTAATCAATAACAAGGCTATTTACTTAACACTTTCAAACTATATGGCCTTTTAATTAAATTTGAACTTTATAGTCTTTTAATAAAATGCCCCTAACAACTGCCATAGCAATTCCTTAAGTCATTTGAGGATTGAGATAGTCCTATTAGGTAATTATGTCTGGTTTCGTCTTATTTTATTTCCGGCCCATTCAACTTGTTCGAATTTTGTAATTTGTGGAACAGCAATGCAGGACAAAGGTTATTGTCAATTTGGGCTGCCTCTGAATTTGATTTGTTTCGGCTTTAAATCCAAACCTCAGGCCCAAGAGCGCTATCTTCTGATATGAGCCCGGCCGTCTTTTAAATTTGTAGAAACAGAATGTCAAACAAGAAAAGAAGATTAAAAAAAAAAAAAAAACTACAGTAAGCAGAAATTTCCTATTTAGTAGTATTATACATCAATATTAAGGCTTTACCATAAAGTTTTGGGTCAATCAATAAATTAATAGACATAATATACAAAAACTATAGGTTTCGTATTGTAGGTTCCAATGTATCCATAATAATAAATATCGTGTTCTATCATATATATCAATTAATGTGAAATCAAATGATTATATATGAGCAATGATGGAGCCGCAATCAGAAAGGTTGGCAAAACGTGATGTTTTATGAGCAATGAGCATAGCTTAGTAGGGGTATTAATAAAGCTTTATAAGGAAATTGAATTTGAATGGGTTAAAAACATTTGTACGTGGTAAACTGCTGATAATATAGATGATTGCAGAGACATGCAATAAATTCACAAAAAAAGTTATCTCCTATACACGGAAATAAATTTCACCAAAGAAAAGGCTAAAGATGTGGGTGGGGGTGGGGGTGGTGGTGGTGGTGGTGGTGGGCATGTGCAATTAATGACCACTGCCAAGTGCTGTACATCTTGGTTTGGAGAAATTCAGAATTTATGTTAAAAGATAAAAAAGGATATACCTCACTCTCTACAATCTCCATCAATTCTCAATTAATTGGGTTCTGGAAGAATGTATAATGAAGATTTTATTGGGTTTATGATTTGTACAATAAATAAGCGCGATCTGTGGGATATGCTGTATTGATGTCAGGTTGACAAATCTTCAACAACTGTCCTTTAGATATATACATGAAAGTAATAAGACATACATAAGAATGCAATTAGTCTTTGTCTATTTAATCATAATTAGTCTGAAGCATTAGGTTAATGACATGATGTTTGTTTTTTTCTATTATGAATTACTGATTTGGGCAAAACACTGATTAAATATTTAACAACATATATTACATATATATGGCTGAACTGTGTGGTGCTAGGGTTTTTCAAGCAATCACATCATCAATCAACATAATTTGATTTTAAATGCATCTTCCCGACACAATAATCTCGTTTACGCTCTCACCTTTAAAACTTCCATTCATTGTATAATATAATTATAATTTTCTGCTGATTGATACCAACCACAATCTATTCTCAAGTGGTCCTTGCTCTACAACTATAAGGTCCGTAGATCTAACTCCTACATTAATTGTAAAATGCAAAAAATTAATACAATATGATCCTGGCTGAAGTTGAAGTGTTTAAAATAATTAGATTGAAATACCATGTTAATGTTATATCGTACTGAACAAGAACAAAAGAATCCATGTTGTTTTCACTTGTATTAATTTGGATGAATGAAGTCATATAGCTTTGTTTGTTGTGTTTAGATTTGTTTTCCCAGTCACAATCTGTGTCTACGAATCCTGGACAAGCCATGAAGAGGTTCTTGCGGCTTTGATTGAATTAATTTGAAATATATATATATATATATATATAGAGGTAGTAGGCTATATATCTTCATTGGTGTTTTATCTCATTGAATTGGTGGGTAGTCATTTTCAATTTCATTAAGAGAAGAGACTTGAATTCTTTACTCATAGCTGTCACTGGCTCCATATGTTCCTCTCATTCGTCTTAATTGCATGAGCCAAATGGACGACAACAACTCATCACCATTCTACACGTATGATTTTCTTCTTTTATAACTTTCTTTTGTTGTCGGTGTCTTCCCGTAAACTTATATCATTTGAAATGACTGTATTTTAGCTCTTACACTTTGCCTAATTAATATAGAAAATAAAATTAATTAATAAGCCAGGCAGCCGGGTAATGGGAGTTTCAGATTTCAATCAGTCAAAAGCATAAGTGAGTAGGATGATGTGATGCAGGCAGAACAATCCGTCACAAATATTATAAAGTGAGAAGGGACCAGTTCCATTTTAATAAAATCTAATCAATCAACCCTTATCAGTGACGCATTCCAAACCTACTAATCTTTTTATCGGGTGATGTAATAGCCATTTTGTTATCAACACCAAGTCGACGTGGTACACCTTCAACTCTTCAATTTCTAGTGTCCAATCTTCATGATTGGTTGCTACCTTAATTAATTATTTTTTACTAGTTCAACTTATATCACCATACAAGACGAAGTGGATCTTATATAGATGACAAAGAGTTGTAGTTGTAATTCAGTAAACAATGTAAATAAATGCCCTAACCACTTCATATTATGACAAAATAATCAAAATCAGACGTAATTATAAAAACTAATGAGACACAAAAAAAAAAAAATAACTTTTTTCTGTGTCACCTACTGTAATATATATATGTGTATAGATATAACACGTCCACTTCGTTGTTCATATTTTTTTTTCCAAAAAATTTGGAATATGATATTTAATATTTTGGATTATAATCAAGGCCAATCCATTTCTGGGGCCCGTCCCGTTACTTCACAAACGTGCTGGTTGTTCAACTTCAATCTTGACGGCTAGGCTAGCTCTCAAGTAGATTTGTGTTCTTTAATCTTATCTAATTAAATAGTAATTGGGCATTAACCGCAATCAATGTTTAACCTATCGTATGATTATAGATGTGTATATCAATCGACTTGTTTAGATAGAAAAATGAAAAGCATTAACTCCATCTTCCAGAATAAATCCTGAAATTCATAAAGATGTTTTTCAATATATCAAATTAAAAATCAACAAGGTTAATTTTATCTGCTACACACACTGTAGATAGACATGATATGTTATTTTGACACCAAGATTACACATAAACAAAGTGTTAAGAAATTACGCATGAGATGGTTATGAAATGTGTTTATGGTGCAGTGATGATGGTTTTTAGTCAGTACGTAAATAACAATTTGACAAAAAGGACTTTTAGAGTGATTCGGATGTTGTGAGCAAGACCCACGTTCACTGTGATTATATAATGATTTCTTTTGTGATCGCTAATAAAGATTACAAATGTTTGAAGTGTTCTAAGATAATAATAAGTCAGTATTTTTCTAGTAATGTATCTTTGCTATTTTTTTATAGAACAAGTGTCTAAAATTGATAATCAATCCCGTTTTGAGAAGTAGAGTTGTCTATTTATACTCTATTCAGTCCAAAGTAATGAGTGATTTCATAAGTTATCTTGATTTGGTAAAGATCTTTCTTCATTCTAATTCGTTGAGGGTTTTAATCCTTATCCTTAATTTAATGAAATTCTGACAGTTGTAAGTGTACAATATCCTTCTAAGTTGGTTTGAGAATTAGACAACTATTATACTTTGTCTTCTTGTGCTTGGTGAATCTTGGTTGGTTGGGAGCTAATTGGCTGAGAAGTCTGCTGAACTTGATTGGTGAAATGACGTCAGCATATAATTTAGGCGTAACAAACACAAATGCTTACAACTTTCGTTTTCATTTTGATGATAAAACCAATCCATTTGGCAATTTCAGCTTAGTATGCCACCACCACCAACCCAAAAAATACACACATGGACTTGTACGATGATATTATTGTGACAAAAGTACGAGAAAATAAAGTTCAGTTCACCGCATGCAATTTTATTAAGATGACAGGTGATTGAACAATTTTTTAAAAAATAAATAAAATAAAATAATATTTCAATGTCATACGTCAATGTTGGATCATACATGATATTTTGTTATATTCTTTGAAAACAGTTAAATTATCTTGGGAATTAACAATGAAGATAATCTAACAGTCATAAGAGTAATTGGATTATATCCACACTATATGAGTCATTTGATTGACACGAAATTTATGCGAACCCAAGACTAATGTCAAATCAATTGAACATGTCAACGAGTTTCGCTAATTAGAATGCCTCAAACATTTATATGTATTGTATAAATTCAATTATTGAAAATTAAAAAATATTTTGATTTTTAAATCATATATCAAGCGTCAAAGTTAAGATTGTGAGATTTCCTATCATTTACCTTTTAAACTTTTATCTATTAAACATTTAAGCTATCTGTTAGTCCTAATATTCAAACGAAATAAAAATAAATAATGTAAGAGCAATAATGATTCCTTCATATATAGTTGCACTTGGTTATCTTATTTAGAACAATTAATAATTGATGATGTATTATGATTGTTTAGTCTTTATATTAATCGATTATTTAAGTTAGTATAAGGAAGATAGATAGTTTATGCTAAGAATGAGAAATGCAACTTGAAACTTGTATTACTTCTTTGATGGTATTTACAGCATTCAAGAGACACCTTAAAACTCAAGTTCAACTATAAGAATAAAAAGCCTGACCCAGTGACCCCCGAAGGAGAGACAGACCAGAGACAAACATGAATATTTAATAATATTGCATAAACGGCACAAACAAACTACTACGTCGTTTTTAGGTTTCCATATTACGCCTTGGGCGCACCTTAACTGTTAAAGGATTCGCCATCTCACAAGAAAGCCTTAGTACCTCTGATAGGTCAACACTTTTCTCATCAAAAGCTAACCATTCATATTCCTGCAATAATGACGCTACCCAGAAGCTTACCGTAGTCATTCCCAGGTTCTTTCCAGGGCAAACCCGTCTACCTGACCCGAAAGGAGCCAGCCTTAGATCTGATCCCAGAACAGAAAATTCCACCTCACCCTCTTTAGCCACAAATCTATCAGGCATAAATTCAAGAGGGTCCATCCACACGTGTGGGTCCCTAGATATGGCCCACATGTTCACCATTGCTGTGGTCCCTTCAGGCACGTGATACCCATCGATAGTTGTATCAGTAATGGCCAAACGGGCCCACGAGAGAAGTGGCCCAGGAGGATGTAACCTCAATACTTCCTTAATCACAGCCGTTAGATAATTTAACTCACCAATATCAGATTCGGAAACTGCACGTGATCTGCCAACGACCTTGTCAAGCTCATCATGCACCCTTGATTGAACATCAGGATGAAGCACCATCCTTGCTAATATCCACTCGATCAAAACCGCCACTGTATCGGTGCCTCTAAATATCATTTCCTGCATCCAAACATAAAGGACAATATTTAGTACAACTTTTAAGTGTACTAGAAATATTATTAAAATAAAAAATATAATACTATCTGTGTGCTGGCTTACCCAAAGAACGGCGATCATATCGGAGTCTGACAATTTATCTGAGCCTTGAAGACACAGTAAAACATCGACAAAATCCAGGTTGTTTTGGCTTTTTTGAGCTCTGTGTTCAGCAATAATTCGGCTAACGAACCGGTTCACTTTGGGTACAAGTTTTGAGCATCTAAACCGGATTTTTTGAGGGTCAAAATCAGCTAACCAAGGAAGGTGGTCGGTCCAATTTAGAGTGCCTAGTAACTCGTACCCTTCATCTACTAATTCTCGTAGTTGTTTCACTTCGTTATTCAACGAATTTAATTCATATTCTCGTCCAAAAACTGAACACATCATATTGCTTAGTGAAGCTCGTTTAAGTACTTCACGTACGCAAAAACAACCTTGTTTCTGTTCACCAAACACGGTAACCATCTGAGAAGCTATTACACGTCTCTGAATCTCAGCTCCTTTGATTTGTTTTGGGCAGAAAAAGTGAGTAGCAGCGATTCTCCTTAAGGTTCTCCAGTACACACCATAAGGAGCGAACCCAATTGCTCTATTGAACATTAAACTATAAGCAGACTCTTTCACAGGACGATCAGCAAACACTGAACTGTTGAGTATTTCTTTTGCTACATCTGGATTACACGTTACTATTACGCGAGTATCACCCAGACTAAAGGCCATGAGCCGCTTAGCCTTGCATGCTTCAGCTACAGCAGCAATTCGGTGGTGTGCCAGTGACATCATGAGGTGCATGCTGCCAATTACAGGCAATCCTCTAGGACCAGGAATTGACTTGGCCGTACCAAAAGATGAACCTCTTTTAAACCTATATTTTCCCCAAGCTGGACCACCAGAGTGAACCCAGTAGAAGAGGGCCATGGCTAACCAAGCTAAAAACATGATCAAAAGTGAGCATGCAAAGTTTTCTTGAGTGAAAGCTCTGCATTTGGAGGCAAGAGCAAAGACCCAGAGGCTCTCTATGTCGGTTGTCATGGTTGGTTGAGAATGAGAATTAAGTGATAGTACACAAGTTTTGAAAAAGGAGACTGGCTTTTTGATTCTGGGGCTAAAACGAGAGAGTTCGGTTTGTATATATAAGGAGGAGCAAGGCCCAAAAAAAAAAAAAAAAAAATAACCGTTACATATACAGGGTAGTAGGACCGTATAACTGAAAATTAATAATATGTAGCTGTTAATATAATATAAATGTGAAATTAGTAGGAAATAACTGCGCCGCCACGAATGCATGACGATATGTAGAAAGGTACGTTTGACATTGGAGAGCGTGTTTAACACGCTCCAATCCTCTGGTGATAATGTGCTTCGTAAGCTGACGTTTATTATGTTGGCAGTGGCCTCGTATGTGTACTAATTTTCAGTAGAAAGTCTCTTCAAATTCACAAGTTGACCAACTTAACCATATGAGCTGTTATTTTGATGCATGATCAACTTAAATCCTTCAATTTTTTCATAATAATAATATTCAGATGATGTAAATGTCCAAGAAATAAGGGTTGACATTGTGTAAACACAAATAGAGAAATAATTTAAAGAATAATACTTAAGAATGTAATTTATTTATATAATTTAGGAATTGTCATTCCAAATGATGTAATTGAGTTACTAAAATTAATAATATCTAAATATCAATAATTTTCTTAAGTTCAATACAATAATGTCACTTTCAAAACACTGGATGATTCGTTGAATTTGTAAACTATGAAACATCATTCTCTTTTAAACGTCATTTCATCTTGATTAAGGCTGTCAACCTTTTTCTTCTTTTTAAAAATAAAATAAATAGATCAAAACATAACATATGGGTTTACTTTGAATTTGAAATAAAGGAGGTGGAGCGTGACCTGAGAAGGTAAAGAAAAGCGCGTGAGAAAAGAAAAATGGTTGGACAAGTTAACATGGGGTGAAGTAAATTTCAAGTAGCTGTGTGTGACACCTGGTGGTCGTGTGGCGGGAAAATGTCGGGTAACAAGTAGGCGGGTGCACATGAGACCCATGCACTCGTGCTCGCTCAATGAATATGAATATGAATATGAAGATAGGAAGGGTATGGCACTGCCAAGTTCCAAGAATCCAAGTGCCATACACTACCCTTCATTATCAAATCTTATATGATTTATCAACCATCACTATTGTACGAACACGTGTCAAATTTAATATAATTGATTGTGACAACACCTCCAACCCGTGTACCCACGTTCCTGTGTGTGGTTAATGCTCTTCCGTACACGTGGGCTTTAATTGCAGTTAAAAACCACGTTACATTTAATTTATGTCGAGAAGATTTCCTTTTTAACATAATATATTTGTGGCCAGGGTTAAAATGGTCTTGTAAAAATGAACAACACACGTGGTCTCGTATTCTACGGCTTGGGGACTGCGTGATTTTAAAGCTATTTTTTGGGACCCAGTTTATAACGATTTGGTGCTTTGGTACAACGGTTTGTATCGTGAAGTTGCAGCATGAACAATCCCTGACCGATGATGTTGTTGCTTTCTGAGGAACCAGGTGGTCAAAAGTGTATGAATTTTTGGAATTTAGAAAAATATCACTACTTTGAAAGCCCAACACGGCAATACCAAGACCAAGACCAAGGTCACTGGCGTAATTTACAATTCATTTTTGGAATTTCTAAAACAATTAAAATTATGTAAGTAAAAGATGGTGATTATCGTAAACTAATTATTTGTTTATTAATTTGATTAATCCAATCTGGTGTGGATAATAAATTTAAGGGATGGAAGTCATAGGTTTAGGTAGGTTAAGCAAGATATTTAAAAGAAAGAACCTTAAACAGTGGAATAGGAGGGAGCATAGCAAAGATATATAAATCCTGAAAAGCAAAATTCATATCTGCCACAAGGCCTTTGAATATTATAAAGTAAATGACCATAAACAAAAATAAATATACCTATTCTTGTTGTGTTGGTAGGAGAGGCCAGCAATAAGCTTCAAGGAAGCTTCCAGTTGTGTCATTCATTGATAAAATCATAAAAATAACCTCACACGAAACTAATAATTCGAATCTTTCAAAGATGCCTCTTCACTCATCAGCATTGGACAACTGTTCTGCAGAGAGAGACATAATGTAAAATGCTATAAAAATAAACAGCGCATTAAACACGTTAAGCTTATATAATTTGGTCAATATCATTATTACTAATAAAAGAAGACCCATAACAATAAGAAAAACAAAATCCAATCCCCATCTGGTAAACCCTAAAAACAAATGAAGCCCCATTGAATAACTTCCTTAGATGTATTAAATTTTAATTTGTGAAATGGAAGACCCCAGCAACCTTCATTAAACTCATAATTCGGGAAGTTTCCAGAAAACAGTTGAATAGGTCTCTTGTGGTTACAGTTTATTATTGAATAAAGTCAATTACAGAGGTTACTTTCAACTTCATTTTTTCGTTTTCTGAAAGAAATCACTATCATCATTTGTTGATAGTACCTAATTCCTCTATCAATCTCCATCTAGTTAAAGCCTGCTGAGGCATTAGATTGTGTCTGAAATTAAATTGACTTTGACATATATAAATTTATCCTATAAAATCTTGTACGTTCTTAATATAGGATCGTATTAAGCATCAACGAAGCTTTTAATTTGATACTGGCGATCAGAAGATCTTAAAAAAGTAAATCTAGCAACAAATGACTGAAGAAGAAAGCATGATGTAGATAAAGCCAATTTTGGTAAACAATCCAATAGTGTAGTGCGCTAGTTAAGGCCTAACCCACTTGGCTCAAATAACTCGAACGATGATTGTATTCGATGCCATAATCTAAGTCAGGATTTTCCTTTCTCACTGGCTTCGGTGGGGTGGGGAATGCCTAAAAGATGACTTTTTTTATATATATTTTTTTTCTTCAAATTTTGAATGTTTGAATGATTATAAAGATATGTGCAGCTTTGATCCGTGGTCCTGTATCATGCCCATTTTCTGGGTTCTCTGTCACAGCCCACGACTTGGTGCTAGATTAGATGCAACCATTTCCACTTCTGCTTTTGACTAAACTTAAAAAGAAAAGTTGAATACCAAGCTAGCATTCACATGTTTGGGGTCCTACATTTATATTTGCTGGTACTGAAATATCCCATTAAAATACTCCACCATTTCTCAAACTTGTTAAATTCTTAATCCATGCAATTTTAATTTGAAAACGCTTTTACATAAATATGAAGTTGGTATAAACAAACATATTATATATACCAGCATTGAGACGAAAGGGACTAGAAAGTGAAGCTATAGAGACCGCAGTAGATGCTTTACTATTATATTAAAGAAGCGCCAATCTTTTAGTCTTGTAACTAAGCAAAATAACAAGGCACATAACCAAGTGGATAAACAATAAAAGCATAATCTTTATTAGCTTATATTCCCTTTTCCTCGCAAGATTTTATTCCACTTAGAACCTGTTTCTATAATTATTTTATGTTACTCCAACTTGCAAACTCTCCCACCTATACACAACATCTAATCTCCTTCTCAAAGTTTTGAATTCTCCACTTAGGAAAAAAAATTCTGATATATATTGTTTCCTTTTAGTGATTTTAATAGATATTAAAATTAGTTGGTGGTGAACAACTCAATTGCTCGATGTAATATATTCCTACTGGAACATAGTCCATGTAGGGCCACCAATAAGGAAATATATATCACCTTTTATTATTATTATTATTTTTGTTTGGATAAATATCTTCAGTATCAGATGAATAATTTCGTAAACAAATAAATTTTATATTCTACTACTATAGAAGTAAATTGCTTCTGCTTGTTAAATATCTAAACATAGGTTGAGGATCAATTCATTTTATATTGTATAGTGATCGTGATTAGAATAGTAACTTTGTTGCTGCATTGGAGTGAAATATTGATTCTAAACCACCCAATAGGATTATGTTATTACCGCTAATATATATTTCCTTTTTATGGAAGGAAAAACGATTATCTTTCTGTTTTCTTTGAGCTTGAGGTTCCAGCACGAGAGAGGGAGAGTGATTGAATAAAACGATTATTATTACATCATATTATTTGAGCCCTAAAGACCTGTTATGCGGGTACGTAGTGCAGTCGGCTAGTATTGTTTTGTTAAGTTGATTCTGGTTTAAAATTACATTACCTTTATTATTATAGTATAATCAATAATGAGCAGGAAATTAGGTGGACTGAAAGAGTTGTGTTGACTGAGAAGATAATTAAAATATAAGGTTAAGTCAACTTGGAAAATAACTTAGGGTTATATTTAATGAAAGTTTGTTGGGATGTTTGAGTCGTAGAGGAAGGCAATTGGCAGTGACATCTATTCCTCAAATATCACAACCAATATATTAAATATATATATATAGTGAAATCGATGGGCACCATAGCCCATAGGCTAAAAATCAAAAAGACAAGTGGGTTTATTTATATCATTAAGGTTTTTTTCGATTTTTTTCAACTCGTCAACTTTGATCTGCATGTTGCAGGTATAATCCAATCACAACTTCCAACGATTAATAATTTTTATAAAATAATCTTTTATAAAGGGACTCTTCTTTTGCTCCAAAGGGTGCTTCAGCACGATGATATAAATCTTATATCTTTTTTACAAATATTCTCACAGTTTTATTCTCCGAGTCTAATAAGTATCTCTATGAAATCTGAGATCAACAAAACTTAAATATCTTTTAAGTACACAAGAATTCTTTCTTATAAAAATTATCTACTATCCAACAATTACGTTTACTTGGAATATGAAAAGGGTTTTTACTCGGAAGCCTAAAATTGGTGGCCCAAATTTGTTGTTTACAATTATATTTGAATACAGCAACTCAATGGGCTATAAAATCCATTAACAATACCCTAACTTCCGGCCCGTTGATATATATATATATATTAGAAAGTAGAAATTTAATAGATGAAATTTCAGAAGTTGAGGAGAATCCTAAAATGTAGATGTACGTGAAAACCAGAACGGGGAAGATCATTTCGATGGAATCCAGAGATTTCATCGACAATGTGAAGGCCAAGGTTCAAGATAAAAATTAATTATTATAAATAAATAAAAAATTAAAGGATATTCATGTTGGAAAATGAAAATGAAATTGAATTTTTGTTTTTTCATGTAAATGTTAGAAGGTTTTTTTTTTTTTTTTTATTTAATGTTTCTGAAATGGGGATTTTCTGCTTCTAGTTGTTACTAAGAATGTTAACTGGGTTTTTGCGTAGAGACCAACTGCGTTTTTGTGTAGAGTCCACCCTGGATCTTGTTTTCAATTTACTAAGAATGGTTTTTTCTGGTTTTTATTACAATCAAATTGATTTTCAGTTGTTAATAGGGATGCACTGAAAAGGAAAAAAATTGTGAAAATGAGTGAGAGTATTCAGAAATGAAGCAGGAAAAGTGTACGCATATCTGAGTTTATCTATTCGAGCTATGTCTTTATATGAGTTGGATAATTTTCAGCAGAACGGAGTCAATTTGAATACGAATAACTGCCCATTAGGGGTAGGGATGGTACAGATTCAGCTTCACTATGATCTACAAGAAATTTAAATTTTAGTGATTACATAAAATTGGTTTCCTCATTCTTGTTTATGTCCTTCAGTACGCAGGTGCTATGCTTGATTACACCCCAGTGACGTCAATTGTGGGCACAGCAACCAGGTGCTTTTGAAATTCTATTCTCTTCTATCATTATTAATCTGCATATGGCTTTTTTGTGCTTGTCAAACTTCGATTTCTTCGGCCAAAAAAAGTAGATCAACTAGACGAGATCGTGAAGTTTACAATTGTTGTTGCAGATCAGTGGTTGCGGGAGATTGCAGTCTGAATAATTATTAAAATTGGGTTTTGAAACCTTTTGTTGGATTGGACATGCTGTTTGATGAAGTTAGTGTAGTGACGATGCCCAAATTCCCAATCCTCTGTCAGTTGTTTTATCAACCATGTTGAACAATGAAAGTTGCATTGATTGTGCATACAATTCTCAGAGCATTTATACGGCCTTGGAATGCTAATGCTGTTCTGTATGAATCAGAGAAAACGGACAGACGCCATATGAGATAGTATACTGATGTACCCTGTTAAACGCTGCTGTTAGGAAATTGTAAATCAGAGATAAGACACAAACACCATATTACAAATTTGGTCTATATTAACTCCAGATTTCAGCTCCATGAAATTTACAGCTTAAAACACTTTTGCAAAGCTATGGTTTTGATTGTTTAGGTATTTGGAATAGTATTTTTGAAATATTATTATTAGGTAGAGTTAGGTGGTTATTAGCAGGTAGAATTTAAAAATTAAAAATAGTTGAATAATTTAGGATATGATTTTAAGAATAGGGAAACAAATGTGCATTTTGATTTGGAAAATAGTTGAATAATTTAGGATATGATTTTAAGAATAGAAAAACAAATATGCATTTTGATTTAGAATACGAATAGGATAGGGAAACAAACGCACCCATATTGAAAGAACTTTAAAAATCAGAAGGATTAACTACTAAACAAAAGTTCAGAGGTTAAATTTCTGGAAGAAATTAATAATGGATATAAATCTATAAAAACTATATAATCCTAATCTGTAACTCCCGGCAAGTAAACATTATTGTTCTGGGTGACGCATGGGGACTGGGTTGGTTACCGGGCCGGTCAAATCAGGGACCCCCATAACCAATCCATCAATTTCAACTGGAAGAAGAAGCCTTTTCCAGAGACATCCTGTGGAAATGAGCTGTGGTGGCTGAACTATCATCAACGCATCATTATCTTTATGCAACATTCCAATAACAGTCACAGAGCTGCCTTCCTGAACATACCTGCCAAAACCCATGCAAATCTCCATCTCAAGAAGCTCTTAAAATGCACCATGAAAGCATCAGAAATTGAAGTTTCTCTATGTATAGGTCAGTTACCCTTCTTCCAGACGTAGCTGTCGGGCTTCAGCCGGGAGATTTCTGTCTCTTAACCATTTCCTAAGGTGAGAGGACAGTACACTGCAATATTTATTAATTGTGACAATTTTGCTCTCAAAGATCAAGGGAAGGACTTTACAACCAGAACCAGCTTTCACCATTGCTCTTATGCCAGATTTCCTATCAGTTATGTAAAAGTCTGTTGAGAACCTCTGCAAGTGGACAGACCAAGCAGAATAACATTACTTTCAAAATAGATGCATGCCAGTAGGTGATGCTATAAGATTATAAAGAAGCAACCCAAAATGATAATGGACGCAACCAGTTATCAGGATTCATAACAAATAATGCTGAGCGGCTAAAAAGGCACTTATCTATGATATGAGTGCATAAGGATATCAAAATGAAGGAGTAACAATAGCGAAAGGGTAATAGAAAATGACCGATATGCAAGAACTATAAAGAGCGGTCAATTGACTACAGAATATAAAAGTCAGTGAAGATTCTTCTGCTATGTACAATGAAAGTAGTAGCCCTGTGCGAAAAAATGGTGGTGCTATGTAGAATGAAGTGAAAGAGAATGTAATATGAGGCAGAGCCCTAAATAGAACTAAATGGAAAAGGTTACGGAAACAAAGTGACTTACTACTAAGTGTATATTAAAGTTCTCAATCAATATAAGAATTTACATACCTCACAATATGCTAAACTCCACTGGAAGCAAGATTTCCTAACATTCACAGGCTTGAGACCAAAACTTCCATATTCATACAAAAGAGTTGAGGTATAGATACATCTGGTGGCCCTTTCATATGAAGATTCCAGGGAGAGACTCCCACATGACGCTGGCTGAAATTATCAGAGAAAGAAAAGTAGTTGGCAATCCATTAAGCAGAAGTAATATGCTGTCTACTTTAAAGAGTAACAGACTCTAAAATGAGTAATGAGAGTGCAAGGATCTGATCAATAAAATAAATTATTGGAAGTTAGAGATAAATAACATAAAAAGATTCAAGTAATCAAATTATATATATCTTCAGACAGCTATAAAGCTGCACATTTTGCTTCTTGGAATATAAACCCAAGTTTAAGGTCATCACAAGTATCTGAAACAGTTAGTTGTTGCACATTGAAATACACAGAGCATGTTAAGAATGTCAAATCCAAGTTGTGATCTAGGACAAGACTTACTAGCATAGACTTTTAGCTGCTGCAGTACAGCTATTTTACTAAATCATCATTCTACACCGAAAAATCAAATGGGTGACTGGAAGCCTGTGCTTGCTATGTGTATATGCACGCTATACATTAGCTGGTCTCAGATTACTGTAACTGCATTCTTGTATCTCGAATCTCAGTAGTAGTAATTAGGAAAGTGAGTTTATTCAAGGCCTTCAATAAGAGCATGACACATTGCACAAACCATCTGACTTCAAATGAAGTCGATGAAATCTTTTTCATTTAGATATTTTCTATAAAAGACAATTTACATATGGCCAAAGAATCAGATTTTTATCATGCTTTCATCTCCACAATCCAATTCATACAAAATTCAGATTTTTAACCACTGATACCTCGAAATTAGCTCTACATCGATCAAATGCACCTAATTACTTATTGCTCTGAGAATCAGAATGCTCATAAACCTGAAACAGGTCTTTCCATTTAATGATATCAAGGCTCAGAAGTAAAATCCCTAAATGTATGCAATCCACCAACCTATTAACGATAACAAAATACAATTCGAAGGGTACTTCTAACAATTTTCTGCTTGATTGGTAGGAAACCACATAATTTCCCTATCCTAATAAATTTGCATTAAATAATTAAAATTGTAGGAAAAAAACTCTCTATATCATTTCATTCTCATTTTTCTTCTTATTAACTTTCTGGGAAACAGCAACCAAACACAGCATGTTAAATAGTCAACAGTACTCGAATAATTAAAAGAATGCACCAGATTTAAAACCACAACAGAGCCACAAAATGTAAGAAATTAAGGTTGTAAAGAAGATTACCCCAGTGATTTTAACAATCTGGCCGTGACATGCTACAGCAAGGTCAGAGTCGGGGAAAGAACGGAGAAAATATGAAATGGAAGCTATTTGCCTCCGGTTAAGAGTGTTCCAAGCTATAAAAGATAAAACAAAAGTTGACAAGAAAAGAAAAGAAAGAAAAAATGCAGCGTTGTGGACTACAATGAGAATGAAAAGAGAGACTGAAAAACCAATAAAAAAGAGAGGAATGAGAATGTATGGAGCAAAAGATGGTATGGGTTTGCAAGTGAAAGCAGTATGGTGTTCTAAAAGAGCTGCATTTGAAAGGTCGTTCATCACTTTCTTCTCTCTCTAAACCCAGGGACAGTGAGATTCCAATCCAGGTCCAGCAACCAAAAGTGCAGCGTTTTGGTTATTTCCAGTAAAACGACGACGTATCGTTTTAGTGTCAAATAGTTAAGAGTCTAGCGCATTTTGCTTCTTTTCTAGAATGCTGTATACTGGAGAATGTTATATTAACAGGTATATAGATCACTCAAAGATTATTAAAATATTTAAGGAAATGTGTTTAGTTATGTTAAAATAAATTAGTGAGTATGTTATATTAATATGTTTGTTTAAAAAAAAAAATTAATGGGTATTTAATATAGATTACTAAATTACATTTTTTTTAAATGTTAATGTAATATTAATTTTTTAATTATTTCTTTTAACCCCTGTATTTGAGATTTTGTTAAAACACTTCAACCACATAAAAGTTTAATTTCTAACAAAATTACCCTCACTCATCCCAAGCCATTGTGGGCCGTCTGTCGCCAGCCACCACCACCGGTCGTCGTCGATAGTAGTCGAAACGACCAAATTTGGTCGGTCATTGACTAATCTAACCATTTCCGATCAAATCAATAGCTATTAACAGTTATGGATATGACTGTTAACAGAAATAGTAAGAAAATAAAGGTATTCAGATTATCACTTATATAACCACCAATAATTGCTATTGGTTTCTAAATAATAATGTAGATGATGTTAAAAGGGAGGTGCGAAGTTATATCAAACACCAACATCTTGGAGACACCATTTGTAGATTTGGGTGCGACGTTATTTTCTCTATTAATGAAACTCTTACATCACACTAGAACAACTTAAGTATCCTCTGCCTCCATGTTAAAGATGACCAAGGTCTCATATAATGATTCAATTATTTGATACAGACGGAATCCACTTAATCTTTTTTTCTATGAATTATAAGATAAACAAATTAACATTTAATTATCAAGATGTACAAGTTAATTCTTAAACAATTAATTAGTATGGGCCACAGAGTTAGAGTGCATGATTTTGGTGATTGAAGGATCATGTGCATTCCCTGGACAATATCAGATATTGTACAACAAATAATGTAATGGACAGCAAAATAAAGGTTTTCCAACCAGCAATTCATTAATTTTTTTAAAAGCTAAAGCATCAGAACGCAAGTAAAATCAAAACAGAGACAACCAATGTGGATTGGAGTTCGATAAAGAAAAAAAATCCTTGGAATCATTATTACGGCTTTTTATACTATCACTATCATAAGATGGATATGTCATACTTTAATTATTTACATATATATGATCTGATAAATTGGCCGTTGATTTATATGTTATACAAGTAAGTACTTTAAACTGATCAATCACCATTTACATTCAAGTTTATTGGTACCTCAAAGTTTGATTAATTAGATTGAGACTCCAAAGTTTTAACATGTCAAATAAAACTTTTGGTTTTGGGTGTGTAGGTAAAGGTATTAAAAGGAAAGTAAATGTATAAAAGTATCCCGATTATTTTGTCTTACATTGGTAAGTTGGCAGTGGTACTGGGTGCGAGACTCGGAATGGGAGTGGAAGTGGGACGTGGGACGTGGCGGAATCGTCTTCTGCGCAAAGCTGCCTACATTCTGGACGCATCCCCTTTCTTGTCTTTGTGCTCCGTAAAAGTCAAATGTATCTCCGTTCTACAATATCTTTTATTTTATTCATATCCTAATTTTTATTTGAAAAATATTAAAATGATCAGCACGTGTTTAACTGTGAGTTTGTGATCCAATACGCATTATTGATACAAAAATCTATATCAATTAGAGAATTTCGATTGACCCTGTCGAAATCAGAATAGATGTGCATGTGATTTAATAAAAATCAGTAATAAATAAAAAAGAAAAAGTCATAAATAAAAACACAAGACAATTTTTAAAGTGGTTCAGCTAGTTAGAACTTGAGCCTTCGTCCATTGTTATCTTATTACTTTTGAGAGCTTACCAAAAACAGTATAATTCCTAAGAAAATTTGCTTAGAACAATTGTCTAGCCCCCCTAAAAACAAGTTATGATGAGTTTATATAGCACCCATTTAAATTATAGAGTTGAGATAAAATTCAAATACGTAGAATTAAGAAGTTGCATGAGCTTCGGCTATAGTTGGAGTTTAAGTCAATCTTGAGCAAATCTAAATATCTTCTCTCCTAATAAGGAATTATCCTCTCCGGATTGACCGCACAACAATAGCCCCCTAGTTTTTGGAGTGCATAATCGTGCTTCAAAAACTCATGTCTTTGATCTGGATGGTTGCGCACTATAGGTTGTAGTCTCGAACTGAAGACTTGAGTTATGTCTGGCGCGATCTAAGAGATCTGAGAGATCTTGAACACATGATCTCAAGCGAATGAGCGAGCTTAGGAGCTTAATCAAAGAGCATAAAGAGCTCGATCTGAGGGTGCCAGGAGTTCGATTAGAAAGCGCGGAGAGCTTGATCAGAGAACATAACTCGATTAGAAAGCATGGAGAGCTTGATCTGAGAGCATAGCTTGATTAGAAAGCATGAAGAGCTTAATCTGAGAGCATAGCTTGATAAAAAAACATGGAGAGCTAGAGAGTTAGCTTGAGAGCTTGATAGCTTGGGAGCCAGAAAGCTTGAGAGCTCGATAGCTTGGGAGCTAGAGAGTTAGCTTGAGAGCTTGAGAGCTAGCGAGCTCTTTCTAATCTGAGCTATCTGGCCACGGGATCTGAGAGCTCTGATTTGGAACAAACTTTAGTAGTTTGATGATAACTTGAGTTGCAGACCTTGGATTTGGATAATTCTTGGACTGTCAAAAAGCTAACTCGAAGGGCTAATATTCTTGTGTTTACTGCTTAGCCAAATTCAAACTTTATCCTACTCAGATTTTCACATTTGATAACGTGATTCTAGAAAAAGAAGCTGGGATTTGTTGAAGAAGTTGAGACGTGCTAGAAAACCATGGAGAGTTGATGTGAATCAGACCCTTCTTCTAGGGCCAAAATGTTGATACAAAAATCTGCACCAACCAGAGAATTCCGATTGACCCTGTCAGAACTAGAATAGATGTGTGCGTGATTTAATGAAAATCAGCAATGAATAAAAAAGAAAGAGTCATAAATAAGAACACAAGACAATTTTTAAAGTGGTTCGGTAAGTTAGAACTTGAGCCTACGTCCACTGTTATTTTATTATTTTTGAGAGCTTACAAAGAACAATATAATTCCTAGGAAAATTTGCTTAGAACAATTGTCCAGCCCCCCTAAAAACAAGTTATAATGGGTTTATATAGCACTCATTTACATGATTGAGTTGAGATAAAATTCAAATACGTAAAATTAGAAAGTTGCATGATCTTCAGTTACCTTAGTTGGAGTCTAAATCAATCTAAATATCTTCCTTTCAAATTAAGCAAATCTAAATATTTTCTCTCCTAATAAGGAATTATCCTCTCCGAATTGACCGCACAAATCGCATAAAAAAATGTTTTGTCATCTTTGTTTCTTGAGCTGAAGCAGTAGCCAAAATGCAGAGGATATAATTAAATGCAAGTGAAACAAATTAATGTGTTGAAAGGCTGTTAATTTCACATGTGAAGAACCAATTTGTAACTGTTTAGCAGTCTGTTGCTTAATTTTCAAGAATCTATGGGTTACTTTTCGGTCTCAAATCAACTTCAAAATACTAGGCCTGAATCTGTCAATGGGATAATGGACATGGTGATACGTAGACGAAGGATATTCTTTCTGTTGTGTTTGCTAAGAGGTAATGAATTGATGGTGGGTTCTCCACATCATTTAGAATCCAATTTATGACCGTTAGAGAAAACTTATAACTAAGCAAAATAAAAGGCACATAACCAAGTGGATAAACAATAAAAGCATAATCTTTATTAGCTTATATTCCCTTTTCCTCGCAAGATTTTATTCCACTTAGAACCTGTTTCTATAATTATTTTATGTTACTCCAACTTGCAAACTCTCCCACCTATACACAACATCTAATCTCCTTCTCAAAGTTTTGAATTCTCCACTTAGGAAAAAAAATTCTGATATTATTGTTTCCTTTTGTGATTTTAATAGATATTAAAATTAGTTGGTGGTGAACAACTCAATTGCTCGATGTAATATTTCCTACTACATAGTCCATGTAGGGCCACCAATAGGATATATATCACCTTTTATTATTATTATTTTTTTGGTTTGGATAAATATCTTCAGTATCAGATGAATAATTTCGTAAACAAATAAATTTTATTCTACTACTATAGAAGTAAATTGCTTCTGCTTGTTAAATATCTGAACATAGGTTGAGGATCAATTCATTTTATATGTATAGTGATCGTGATTAGAATAGTAACTTTGTTGCTGCATTGGAGGGAATGTTGATTCTAAACCACCCAATAGGATTATGTTATTACCGCAATATATATTTCCTTTTTATGGAAGGAAAAACGATTATCTTTCTGTTTTCTTTGAGCTTGAGGTTCCAGCACGAGAGAGGGAGAGTGATTGAATAAACGATTATTATTACATCATATTATTTGAGCCCTAAAGACCTGTTATGCGGGTACGATGCAGTCGGCTAGTATTGTTTTGTTAAGTTGATTCTGGTTTAAAATTACATTACCTTTATTATTATAGTATAATCAATATGAGCAGGAATTAGGTGGACTGAAAGAGTTGTGTGGACTGAGAAGATAATTAAATATAGGTTAAGTCAACTTGGAAAATAACTTAGGGTTATATTTAATGAAAGTTTGTTGGATGTTTGAGTCGTAGAGGAAGGCAATTGCGCGTGACATCTATTCCTCAAATATCACAACCAATATATTAATATATTATATATAGTGAAATCGATGGGCACCATAGCCCATAGGCTAAAACTCAAAGAGATAAGTGGGTTTATTTATATCATTAAGTTTTTTTCGATTTTTTTCAACTCGTCAACTTTGATCTGCATGTTGCAGGTATAATCCAATCACAACTTCCAACGATTAATAATTTTTATAAAATAATCTTTTATAAAGGGACTCTTCTTTTGCTCCCAAGGG